GCGGCCGTGAGGCTGTCGGGGAGGCTCAGCCGGGGCAGATCGGCCGGGGCTGCGGCGCCCGGGCTGTCCGGGAAGGAGACCTCGAACTCCGAGCCCGACCACGTGGCCTCGCCTGCAAGAAGGAAGGCGCCCGGGCTGCTGTCATCCCGGCCGCCCCGCGCCCCGCTCCGGAGGCGGGGACCGGAGGATCGCGGTTCAAAGCCAGCCCAGGCAGGAAAGGCCCCAGACTCTCATCGCCCACGAACCGCCAGAAAACCGGAAGTGGCGCTGTGGTTCAAAGGGTAGAGCGCCCGCCTTGAGCTGAAGAGCTGAGGGGCAGCGCCCAGGCCCAGAGTTCAAGACCCACCACCGACAAAAGAGGAGGAGGGCGGAGCATGGGCCAAGGGATAACCAAGCCGTGAGTTCAAGTCCCAGTAATGGCACAAAAGTTAGAAGCGTGGGAATCAGGCCTCAAAAACCTGGGACCACGGTGCTGAAGCCAGCAAAAACCCCCACCTACCCAATACCACTACCCAGGGCTTTGTTTTTGTGGGTCCCAGGGCTCGAACTCGGCCTGGGTGCTGTCCCTCAGCTCTTCAGCTCAAGGCGAGCGCTCTACCACTTGAGCCACAGCACCACTTCCGGTTTCCTCATGGTTCACAGGAGATGAGAAGTCTCATGGACTCTCCTGCCCATGTTGGCTTTGAACCGCGATCCTCAGATCTCAGCCTCCTGAGTAGCTGGATGACAGGCGTGAGCCACCAGCGCCCAGCAAGCACCAGGCTTTGACAAGATGTGCTCCACCTGGCAAGAGGCATTTGGGGGTCCCCCTATGGGAAATCGCTGCCAAGTGGGGGGGGCACCAAGTTCAAGTCACTTACCTAGGCGCTCATGGGAGCTGCCACTGGAGCCCACATCCTCCCGTCCCAAGGTCGGGGGAGAGGCCCGGCCCGGCCCCACACCGGCACGGCTGCTATCCAAGAGGGAGATGCCAGACACCTCCAAGAAGCCTGGGGGAGGTGGACACAGCTGTTATTATTGACACCAGGTCTGGTGGGTTTCAACTCAGGACCTGGCTGTCCCTGATTGTTTTTTTTAAATCAAGGCTGGCGCCCTACCACTTGAACCACACCTCTACTTCCGGCTTTTTGCTGGTTCATTGGAGATAGTCTCGCGGGGACTTTCCTGCCCAGGCTGGTTTTGAACCACGATCCTCCAGATCTCAGCCTCCTGGGGAGATGGGATGACAGGCGTAAGGCTCGGTCTCTGCCTGGTGGCCAGGCAGGCCTCTTGGCTGGAAGACCTCTCCGCCTTGTTCTGGAGAAATCTACCTGATCCCACCCCCAAGGAGGCTCCGACCTCCTCCTAGGGTAGGTGTGTGCGAAGGGCCTGTGATCGGAGTCCAGTTAGTTGTGCAACTGAAGTAACCTAACCTGTCATGCCTGGACTACAGGCGCTACCCCAGTGCCCGGCAGTGCTGCGTGAGACCAGCAAGGGGTCAATCAGACCCCTGAGCCCGCACCCCGCTTCAGGGCCGGGAATCCCAGTTGCCACCATGGGCTGACAGCTCACGCCTGTCACCCTGGCCACTCAGGAGGCTGAGATTGGAGGATCGCAGTTGGAGGGCTCCAGGGCGGGAAGGTCCCTGAGTCTCCTCGCCAGTGAACCCACCAGGAAACCGGAAGTGGTGCTGTGGCTCCCACAGTAGAGCGAAAGCGCTCAGGGACAGCACCCAGCCCCGAGTTCAAGCCCCACGGGTTCCGGGTGCCTCAGTGTCCTCCCCTGGAGGCCTGGCGCAGTACCTGGGTCCATGACTCTCTGTACTGGAGGCGGAGGCTGAAGAGGAATCTCCATGGAGCACGGGAGCGCCCCCAGGTCCGGGCCGGCATGGCTGGGGCTCCCCGGGGCGGGGGGCTGCTCCTCTGGGAAGAAGCCTGGGACCTGGAGCAGGGCCTGGGGACGTCAGGGAGAGAGGGGCAAAAGGACCAGCCGTTGGGAGCCGCCCAGGGTGAAGACCCCATCTCAATCACCCGACCGCTATGTGCAGGCCTTCCTGGAGTTCAGGACCATGATTGCCTCGCATGCCCACCCCCAGCCCCCTTCCCCACAGCCTCCTCGGGGTCCCAGGAAGAGCTCCTTCCCGCCAGATGCCCGTGGCTCACGCCGGTCAGCCCACCCACTCGGGAGGCTGAGGTTTGGAGGATCGCATTTCAAAGCCAGCTAGAGCAGGAAAGTCCATGAGACTCTCATCTCCAGTGAACCACCACCAGAAAAAGCCAGAAGTGGCACTAGTCTTGAGTGGAAAAAGCTCAGGGATGGTGCCCAGGCCGTGAGTTCAAGCCCCAGGATAGGCATCAAAAAAAAAAAAGCTGGGGTGTCTGCCCCCCAAGCATCCCAAAAACAGCTGTTAAGCTTTGTGTGCTCGTCCTGGGGTTTGAACTCAGGTCCTGGGCACTGTCTCAGCTGATTTTTGTTCAAGGCTGGGTGCTCTACCACTTGAACCACAGCACCACTTCCAGCTTTTTCCTGTGGTTTTTTGGAGATGAGCGTCTCACAGACTTTCCTGCCCTGGGCTGGCTTTGAACTGCCATCCTCCAGATCTCAGCCTCCTGAGTAGCTGGGATGACAGGTGTGAGCTATGGCTCTGGGCTACAGGGCACAGATTTCCGGGCACGTCCGGGTGGTGTCGGGGCCTTTTGCGCATGGCAGGCCTGGAGCAGCAGCCTCCCCCCCCCCCCTGCTGCTGACCTCCTGGTAGTCATTCTGGAGTGGGTGGGGCTCCAGGTCCGGAGCAGGTGGGGGTCCGGGCGGGGTGCCTGGTGGCGGGGCATGGTCCCGGGCTAGGGTACCCGGTGGCGGGGCATCAGGCGGCGGAGCTCTGGGCGGCTTCTTGGGGTGACTGGAGGGCTGAGTGGGGATCCGGTGCAGGTAGCCGTAGCCCACGCCACACCCTAGACTGGGGGGGGGGGAAGGCTGGAGCATCTCAACCCAGCCTCACCCAGCTCTCTAGAGTTCCACACAGTATCTCATCTAACCACACAGTATCTTATCTAACTACACAATATCTCATTTAACCAAGTATGTCATCTAATGAAATACCTAACAAAATATCTCATCTAACCAAGATCTAACCAAGTATCTCAACAAACAGAAGAGCTTAAGGAACAATCTCTCTCAGCCAAGTAGCTATCTCAGCTAACTAAATGGCCAACCAAATAGCTAACAGAGTGTCATCTACTAAGTAACTAACAAAACATCTCATCTGACAGACACAGGCCCTGCCCACCCCGCCTCGGGCAGGGCAGGAAAGGGGGAAGGAAGGAAGATGGAGGCGTGGCTCAAGTGGTAGAGCAGCAGCCTGGAGTTCAAGCTAAAGCCCAGGGACAGAGCCCGAGGCCCTGAGTTCAAGTCTCAGTAGCAAGTGCAAGGAATGAATAGCAGCAGCAGGGCAGGCACAGGGCCCACCTGCTCCACGGCCACCCCAAGTCCTCCCCCCAGGCCTGCGAGTCCGGGACTACAGGCAGTACCTGCCTTCCCCGCCCCAGGCTGCGTTGGGCGTGACGGTGAGCTCGCGGCAGGCATCCCACTCGGAGTTGTACACCATGAGCTTCAGCGGCTTCCCCTCGTGGGACTCGATGAGCGAGAAGAAGTCCTCAGACTGCGTGGGGGGACAGGGAGGCCCGAGCTGCAGCTCCCTGCCTCCTCAGACGTCCGCCCCACCCCGGGGGCCCCCCCTCACCTCCTGGAGGATCTGATCCGAGCCCACCACGTAGTCAGTGTAGGGACGCAGACCGGCCAGGGCGGCCGGGGAGGAGGGTGCCACGTCCTAGAGGGGTTACAGTGACAGCCTCAGCCCTGAGGGGAGGTGGGGAGGGGGGAGAGGGGGGGGCTCAACCTCCCCTCAGCCCCCCACCCACCCACCCCAGGCACAGCACTGCACAGCCGGGCACTGGTGAGCACGCCTGGAATCCCAGCTACTCAGGAGGCTGAGATCTGAAGATCATGGTTCAAAGCCAGCCCGGGCAGGAGAGACCCAATGAGCCACCAGGAAACGGGAAGTGGCGCTGTGGCTCAAGTGGTAGAGCGCTCGCCTTGAGCTGAAGAGCTGAGGGACAGCGCCCAGGCCCAGAGTTCAGGCCCCACGACCAACAACAAAAAAAAAGTGAATAAGAATAAAGCATCATAAAAATAAGCAAAGTAAATAATACATTTAACAGCAAAGTAGTAATCGTACATTAATAACAAATGACCAAGTAGAGACCCTCAGGGCCCTAAATTGAGCATCCAGGCCAGCACAAGGCAGGGTCAGCCGAGCAGGGAGGGAGCCAGGGAGGAGCTGAGCAAGGCCAGATGGAGCCCAGGAGTTTTCTTTTGTGTCAGTGGTGGGACTTGAACTCAGGGCCTGGATGCTGTCCCTGAGCTCTTCAGCTCAAGGCGAGCGCTCTACCACTTGAGCCACAGCGCCACTTCCGGTTTTCAAGTGGTTTATCGGAGATGAGAGTCTCAAGGACTTTCCTGCCTGGGCTGGCTTTGAACCGTGATCCTCAGATCTCAGCCTCCTGAGTAGCTGGGATGCTAATAGGTGGGAGTCACTGGCGCCTGGCAGAGCCCAGAGTCGTCTTTTTGACCCCACAGAAGCTGTCTGGCTGCCCATCCGGGACTCACCAGCACGTGCCACACCTGCTCGCTGGCCCGGCGGAAGCTGCAGAAACGCACGCTGGCCCCCAGCAGGCCCTGGCCGCCCCACAAGTTGCTGGGCACCACCTCCACCTCGCGCACGCGCATGGTCTTCATGCTGAACACCTCCAGCTTGACCGGCCTCTCCACGTTCGCCTTCAGCAGCGCCTTCAGCGTGTCGCTGCCCTTGTTCTGCATGAGTGGAAGGGGAAGG